CTACATTTGTATGTCTGTCCTACATAATGCTCATTAGTTCACCAATGCATAATTCATTCAAATATTTTAAGTGCTCATACAAACAGGCACCCATTCCAAAGGCTATTTTAAAGAAGGCCAGGGATACTTTCCAATCAATTGTTCCACTGGTGCTGAAACACATTTAGATTTGTGACTCTCTGTAATAATCAGTACCTATTTTTAAATGTTTGTTTCCAGTATATACGAGCCATTCATAAACCTCATCGCTGATGCAGAGCGTGTCATGTTTGATGCAAAGGTCAGCAATTAGTTGGAGTTCCTCTCTGGTATACACCTACACACGTGAACGGAAAGAGCACAGTCAATTACCACTTAACGTGAGAAAGCAGTGCATCAGAAGACTGCATAAAGAAAGAAAAGACTCACTCACCTTGCCCATGGGGTTATGTGGCGTATTTAGTATAATAGCTTTTGTTCTGGAAGTAAATTTACTAGCCAGTTCTTGAGGATCTAATGTCCAGTCAGAACTAGACCATTTTTTTCCATCAACAGGTTTCTAGTGTGAAAAGTGAAGATCTTATTTAGTTCAATTAATTTGTGTTCACTGTCTTACAAATAAATAATCTCATTAGGAAAAAATTAGAGAAAAGCATGGCAAAGATATATGAATAAATTACTATGAAAAAACATAAATAACTGGGCTTCAGCTCTGCCTTGAGAACCCAAGAGGACCTGGGTCTTATGCTTACACCTGTTAAATGGAAACATGAACCCTATCAACATTAACAGCTGTTCAAGTGCCTGTGTTCCTTCATGGGAGCTGGCTGTAACTGTAGTTAACATGATACTGTAAGACTAATAGAACATTCTGTGACTCAGTATAGTACATACTTTGAAAAAATTTTTTTTAAGTTTTGCCATAGAACACAGCATGTACTCTCACTAGAGAGAGACAGAGGGAGACAGTAGGGGGAAAGTGAGATATCAGCCGCTCTGGAGGATGGCCATGCTGTAATCCCTTCTCCTCCATTCTCTTCCTGGGATTTCGGGCATGCATGCACATGCGCTCAGCGTGATTCTCAAGCTGCCTGGCCAGAACTCAAATCACGGTCAGCCATGTGGAAGTCCAGTGCCCTAACCACCCCACCACCTGCTGGCCCAAAAAGATTTTTAAAAGACAACTAGGCAATAGAGATATAAATTTCCAAATGCAATCAAAGTAGCAACTTTATCAGTGACACAGTAATGGATCTTTTCAAAACTTTTTAGAGCATATGAGCCACACTGGCAAACTTACAGATCTTAGGGGAATAAAAACAGGTGTTGCTCCAGCCATTTTCACCATGGGCTCATAGCAATCATAAAAAGGCACGATTATTATGACCTGAAATAAAAGCAAGTAAAAATACAATGTATCTGGTGGTTGGACAGGAATGTAACATCATTTCTATAGTATAGTTCTTATTGAGAAAATCATTTGGAGAATGTAAAATCAGTGGTATCAGTGATTTTAAATAGAAAAAGAAAGTATGTCCTTTTCAAAAGCAGTGGGAAAAATGGTTTATTGGTATTGCTTTTTTACCTGACATTTTTACAGTTTCATTATCTGTATCAACTAAAAGGCAAAGTTATTTTTTATAATTAGATTCTATGTATTGTGTTATCATTCTGATACATTTGAAAACATTTACTAAAGTTTTGCTCTTGTGAAAGATAAAAAAAGAATACAACGTATCAGTCATTCATTCATTCCATAAATACTGTGTACCTACTATGTCTAAGGCTCATACTGTCTGTTGAGATGCAGCAGGGACAAAGGCATGCTTTCTTCCACATTTGTTAAAGTAGAAGAGACCTGGTGATAAATGTGTTCAGAGAATCTTAACTAGAGTCCTTGGTCTCGTAGGAAGATCTGTGGATGAACTTGCAAGGTGGATACCAGAGCTTGTACATACAACTTTATATGTGCATAGGTAGGTTTATCCAGGGAAAGGGACTCTCACAATCTCTAAATGACATTCCAGCCAAAACCATTAAAAAGTTCATTCTATTTCAAATTAGAAAATGAAATCTAGATTCTTGGGTTTTTTTTAAGTTATTTAATTTTTAAAATTTTATTTTGCCAGAGAGTGCATGTACTTGCTGGAGAAAGACAAGAGACAGTGAGAGAGAAAAAGAAGGAAAGTGGGAAAACACTCTCCACCGGGAATGGTCATGCCACAGTCCCTTCTTTTCCACTTCTTCCTCCTTTAGGGATTTTGGGTATGGACGCACACATGCCCAACGTGTTTCTGAAGCCGCCACGTCTGCAACTCAAATCATGCAGTCAGCGTTGTGGGAGCCAGCCATCTTAACCGCCACACAGGTGGGCCCTAAAATATAGATTCTAAGCGATTGTATCAGACAGTGTCAAAAGCAGGCTATATGCAAAGAGAACACTGTAGTGCTCTCTGGATGGAGTGATCATTTAAAAACATTATCCTCAGAATTAAGAAGTTTCTTTCTTCTTAAAAGTGTCTCCAAACTAAAGTTGATACAGTTGGGTACAGTTGGAATGTTCTTATTTTTGCCTGTTACTCACAGTTTCCCTCCAGATGCCACATACCTGGGTTATTTTCCTAACTCATAGGATATACTCCTTGTCTCTGCCCCAGCACTTTCTCAGACACACCTGGTGGGGCCTTCGGGTCAGGGTGTCAATTCAGCTAGTCTGGTTGCTATCCTACCCTCAGTTCACCAGTTCGATCTAGCATCCCTGACTTTTTGCTGTTATGGAGAGTTTGTTCGCATAATTTATAACCATCATTATGTTCAGTTTTTCCTTCTACCTTTTTCCACCTACAGACAGGGTCTGCTGTAGTGGTCCTCCTGCCTTAGCCTCCCAGCTAGGACTGCGGGCACACACCCAGTCCTTTCTGTTCAGTGTCCGGCCAACCTCGAAGCTCTCCTGCTCCAGCCTCCCGAGCTGCCGTGACTGCAGGTGTACACCCCTGGGCCTGGCCTTTAAATTGAAGCCACCTGGCTTTCCATGTGGTCCCAGCTTGTGGAGCACAGTGTTTTACCAGCGTGGGCCACTGTAGGTAGGCCTCTTCCTACATTTTTAAAACCTGGCAAAATTTCACCAAAATGTCATGTTATTATAATTTTCATACTTATTATTTTAATAGCTACAGGAGAGTCTATTACATTCTAGAGTAATTTTCTTTTTTAAGAAATTTAATTTTACTTATTATTTATTAAACTTAATTTTACTTATTATGTTTTTAAATCTGATCAGAGAATGAGAAAGAAAGCAAGCTGTCAGTTCTGGGACTCAAACTGTAGTCAGTCAGCCATGTGGGAGTCCAGAGCCTTAACCACTGTGCCACTAGCAGGCCCTATTCTAGGATAATTTTCTTACCTTTCACTGCCATAAAAAAGTTGTTATATTCATTTGTGAGTGTATAATTTCTCTATTTTTAAATAATTTCTTTGGATAAATTCACATGATTACTCTCTAGATGAAAGGACATAATTATTTTATGGCATTTTATATGTTAATTTAGCCAAATTGCTTTTGAAAAATCTGTTAACAATTTATAATTTCATTAGTCTACACTAAGTCACATCATTTCACTTTTGTTGGTTAAGTTGAATGGAACCAATTAATATTTTAAATGGACACTTTTAGTGCTTGTTTTTCTTATTATATGAAATACGTTGAAGCCCTTTTTCAGTAGAGTCACACATACTAAAAGCCAGTTAGTTTGTACTAGTTACTCAGCTCACACTGAGGGCCAACAAGTGATATGCATGGTTTTGGGGAGTGTGGAGGATAAATGAACGATCCTTACCGCGAGTGACCTGCAGGGTCTTCATTCATCTCAGAAATTAAGATGACCTATTTCGTAACTAGTGGGAAACATAGGACCTGATACAAAGTGAGAGTTCAATAAAGGAAAATGAATAGAGAAGCAGCACAGTAGATTGGAAAGGATACACCCAATACTCTGTCTTAATTTCTTTATTTTTTTATGATAGAAGTAATTTACTCTGGGGCCAGCAAGTGGCATGGTGGTTGGAGCAGTGGACTCCCACATGACTGAAAGTCGTTTGCATTCTGGACCTAGCAGCTTGCTTTCTTACTTTCCCTCTCTTTTTGGTCAAATTAAAATAATAATAATAATAATAAATAAGATAAAATCTTTAGAAAAGAAGTAATTTACTTTATTATTGAAGTACATTTATTGAACACTCACTATTTTAGATGTTACCAGTACAGAAGGAAACTCTCTAGGAACTTATAGCCTGCTGAGAGACTTATAATGAATGAGAAAACAAATAAGTACATTAGTTAATTGTTTTTTTAAAGAATTATTTACTTTATTTATACATTCATTTATTTTAATTTCAACAGAGAGAGATACACAGAGAGAGGAAAAATGAGAAAGCAAGCCACCAGGTCTAAGACTTGAACCATGGTCAGCCATGAGGGAATGTCCAGCACCTTAACCACCACGCCACCTGCTGGCGGCAGAACATTAGTTAATTCTAATAAATACTATGAAGAAAATAAAATCGGTCAGTATGATAGAGAGTGACATGTGTAGCTAGTTACTGGGCTGGACGTGCAGGACGGCAGGTAAGCACTGTGCAGAGGAAACCGACCTCCCATGGTCAACAGGCTCTCACATGGCCACTGGGGACTGCCTGCTTTCTCTCTCTCCCCCTCATGTAAACAAATACACGGTATCATGAATAAAGGAAAGTAAATTAAGGAAAAAATATTAGATAAAGTGATTAGGGAAGAAAGGATAGAGAAAAGAAGGCCAAGGGCTGAGCCTTGGAACACTCCCACAGAGTGCAGGGGAGGAGGGAGCCATGGAGGATGAATGACATCAAAGTATGAGACAAAACTTTCAACCATGTTACAGGATTAAAGGAGATTATGCATAGGAAAGTGTGACTGTACTTCCTTAACATGTTTTCTTAAATAGCTTATTGTCTGGCATCACAGAGAGAATTAGAAAGGCAAAAGAGTAGCAACACAAAGTAGACAGTAGTATCTTCTATAACGTGATCTGATAAAGGGCTATGAGAATTCAAAGAAAGTTAACAGTATAGATTGGGATAAATATTCATTCTTTAGACCTACATTAAGCAATGTCTCTTTGGAATTTTCCAGACCTATATTATCAGCATTGATCACGTCTTCCTTTTGTCATCATCCCAATTATACATTTTCCAATACTGACCAACACACATCATTCTTCTTACTCCCTTTGTAACTCTATTTTCTCTACCACATAGGGTACTCCTTTTGTGTAGAAGTTACCTCTTAAAAATCTTCTCTCTCGGGACCAGCAGATGGCATAATGGTTACATCACTGGACTCCCACACAGTTGACTGTGGTTTGAGTCCCGGACCCAGCGGCTTAAAATTCATGTCAGATGCTTGTGCATGTGTGCCCAAAATCCTAAGAGGAGAATGGAGGAGAAGGGATTGCAGCTTGGCCATGCCCCTGAGGGATGATTTCTTGCTTTCTGTCTCTCTGTCTATGCTTCTCTGGCAAGCACACACACCCTATAGCAAAAATTTCTCTTAAAAAACAAACAAACAAAACAAAAACAAAAAACCAAACTTCTCTCTCAGTGCCTATTATGTGAAACATCCTTAGATGAGGCCAACAGGTGACAAGGTGGTTAAGGTGGCTAGACTCCCACATGGCCAACCAAGGTTCTAGTCCTGGACCCAGTGGCTTGAAATTCATGTTGGGTGCACATGTGTGCATGCCCCAAATCTTAGGAGAACAGGGAAGAGACTGTGGCAGCATGGCCATCCCCCCGGGGGGTGATATCTCATTTTCCCCTCTCTCTCTCTCTGGATAGTGCATGCAACTTAGGGCAAAACCAAATAAACAAATAAATGAATGAATGAGTGAGTGAATAAATAAGTAAATAAATAAATAAAAAGTAAACAGAAAATTCTGAATAAATGGAAAAGGTCAAGAAATATTAAAGCAGGGTCCTGGAATGATAATGAGGACGGGGTAGAGGTGACTGAGGGAGGTGCCAAAGTCGGTCTTACATCAGGGCACTAAGTAGCAGAGATCACTTAACCTTCCCGTTACACAGCCTTGTACTGTATTCCTAACACAATGCAGGGCACAGATCAGCATCAACCAAATTCTTTGGCTGAGTTCAGATTAAAGGTTCTTTTAGCCATAAAAACAAAAGGTTCTTCTCCCCATCATTGCTAACTCTTTCTACCTGCTTTTTTTTTTAAATCTAAATAGGCCATAAAAATAAGAATAAACTATAAGCAAGGTTACTGTCACAGATATAGTAATAAACTAAAGAAGCCAGACCTGAGTACATGCTATAAATTATATTTACAACAAGTAAAAGAGCAGTCAACAAGTCCTTGGTGATGGAAGACAGAAGAGTGGTTACCTTGGGAGAATACAGACTAGGAAGGGGCACAAAGGAGCCTTCTGGGGGTGCAGGAATGGTACTATGTCCTCCTCTGGGTTGTATGTTTGTGGAAATTTATCCAACTGTACATTTCCATTTTTTTAAATGTTTTAAAGAATAATTAATTTATTATCATCCTCTTAAAATTTGACCAGAGAGAGAGAGGAAGTGAGAAAGAAAGCTGCTAGATCTAGAACTCAAGCTGCGGTCGGCCATGTGGAAGTCCAGCATCCCAACCACCATGCCACCTGATGGGCCCTAACTATACATTCTTAAAGTTTGTTTTTATTTTATTGAAAGAGACAGACAAAAACAGGTACCCTCAACAGGGTCTCATTACAGCAGATCTCCACACCAGCCTTGCAGCTAGCCAGGATGCTGGGCACCTGCACCTGCATTTCAGGTCGACCTGGGATCCAGACCGCCATCTTTCGTGTGTCTTCAGCATTGCAAAGCAACAGTCTACCTTCTGCACCGCAGAGGCTGGGCTTCTAGCTATGCATTTAAGATTTGTGAACTTAATTGTATATGCATTAGGCTTCAATAATTAATGATAAAAGAGCATAAAGTAAATACAAGATTCAAATGTAGAACAAAAGATAATGATTAATGTAGGTATTAAGATAATGTTAACATACTTACTTCATCTCCCTCATCAATTAACCCTTGAAAGGCATTAAAAAGAGATCCATATGCTCCTACTGTCACAAGGATTTCTTTATCTGGATTGATTTGATTTTGATACAGCTTTTCATATAGGCAGGACAGAGCTTTCACGAGTGATGGATGACCCTGTTGGATAACAAAGGAAGAAACACCCATGAATTTGATTATGGGCCTACTGCTTTGTGGTAAAATGTCTCTAAAATGCAAGAATTTTTTTAAAATTCAGATTTGATCTTCATAATTGTCACAAGAAATTTTTTCTTTTTTTGTAGTTTGCCAGAGGGTTCTCACCGAGAACATGTGTTCTCCAGAGAGAAAGAGAGAGAGAGGGCAGAAAAATGGAAAGAGAGAAAGCACCTTCCATGGGGGATGGTTACACTGCAATTCGTTCTCCTACATTTGGGATTTTCATATGGGATCCAGCTACCTGAACAACCATGCTACTGGTTGGTCTATAAATTAAAATGTTAATGATAGAGACAGACAGAGACAGAGAGAGAGAAAGTAAAAAACCACACCTCAGCGGAGATGGCCACAGTGCAGTCCCTTCTCCCCATTCTCCTCTTGGGAGTCTGGGCACCCTTGCTCACCGGCCCTGCATGTTTCTCAAGCTGCCAAGTCTGAGACTTGAGCTGCAGAATTGGCCATGTGGGATCCAGCTGCCTTAACCACCATCCACTGGTTGGCTCTAGCACAGTATTTTTTAAATGACAATACATTTAAAACTTTTTTTAAAATTTTCCTAAGGTTCCCACATGAATGGTCATAAAGACATGTTAAAGATAAAAACTTCTACTAAATAAAAGGCTTGGGAACACATAATTTCTAAATAATTGCTTTGAATCAAGATGAACTCCTAGTCTATTTTTGATAGCAATTAAATCATATTAAATAAAGTTAATTTTTTCCCTCAGTTGAAATAAGTAAAAAGAGAACCCTCATTAACACCAAAACACTCTTCCCAGGTGGCAGAGAGATGTGAACCTGGAACCTTCCTATATGGCCTTCGGCAGGGATTGCCAGTGTCAAACCCTGGGACACAGGCCAATCTCATTGCTTTTCCCTGAGCTCCCATCCCTAGAGAAAAACCCTTCTGTGGATTTGTAGTTAGAAGACAAAAATTAGAAGGCTTCTTCCTACATCCTACTCCTCCCCATTTTCCACACTATCATAAAAGGAAAAGCCAAACGCTCAGACATATGATAACTTCATGGTTTTTAGGTATAACAGATTGGAGTCTATAGATCAATGGCCCACCTGAATCTCAGAAGTCTCTGGATAGCTTTGGCATTTCATCACAGAAGGATGAAGGGGGTCAAGGCTAGGCAGAGAGGAAAAAAGCAACTAGCTGGAAATAGAAAGCATTAATTAAGAGGCTAGTGCTAGAGCTGCATGAGGGTTAATAAGATAGAAAAAAACGTGTCAATAGAATATTCTCTGCCCTTGTTGCTATATGATCTCATCCTGGAACTCCAGTAAAGGAAGGGCCAAAACAGAACTACAGATGGGCTAGAAATGAGAGGTAAGAATAGGGACCAGTTCCTGGGATTACTGCGTTGGGGCATTTGGTCAGAAAGTCAATCACAAGTAAGGGATAGAACAAGAACACACACACAATTCAATATAAAATACCAGCTCATGCCCCACATGGGCCTGAGATGCTTACAAAGCCCCGTGTGTACTGGTTCAGGCTATCAGTTGCTGCGACCTTTGATAATTCTTCCTTTACATATGTGGGAGGGGATATATCTGGAAAGCCTTGGCCAAGGTTCACAACAGAGGGGTCTGCAGCCAACTTTGTAAATTCAATCCTAAAATTATAAACAAACAAAACCCAATATTAATAAGTACTGTGATTCCAAGATTTGCTTTTTACAACCCATAGTCTTATAATATTAATAAAACTAAAAACTAATACTTAGTTTAGTCTTGCAGATTAAAAAACAAGTTTTAAACAAAAAATTTACCACACACAGTATGAGTTTACCTAATAAAATGATGGCTGAATTAATGAAGTTAATGGATTTTACAAATCTCAATTCTATGATACTCATGTAATTCTCAATCCTATGATACTCATATTTTAAAAAAAAAAATTGGCTATAGGGCACATGCACTTGCCAGAGAGAGAGAAAATGAGAGTGTGGGATGGTCATACCTCAATCCTTCTCCTCCATTGCTGCTTCCTTTTGGGATTTTGGGCATGCACACACATATACCCACAGTATGCTTCTCAAGTTAGTGGGTCTCCTGCACACGTCAGCCATGTGGAAGCCAGCCACTTTAACTACCATGCCACTGGCTGGCTCTATACCCATATTTCAGCCATATATGCGTTTTTTCTCAACCATTTTAGCAGCCCTGAATTATGTTACCAAATGTTAGATAATGGATACGAAAAGTTCATGGGTTGTTACAAGGTAAGTTCTAAGAAAGCTCAACCAAATTTACATATTCTCTGCCAGATGACCTGCCCTAGCTCAGGGCTTGACACATTTGCTATTATGAATGAATAAAGCTGTATATGAATTGCTAATTTCCCTTCATTTCTATTGAATACATGAACTAAATGAACAGCTTTATTTATAGACTACAGATGAGGCTAAAAGTTCTCAGCTAAGCATATAAAAATAGGTAGAAAAACCTGACCACATTATTATTTTTTATCATAAGATACTCACCACACATTACTATCAAGTCCTTCAATTCGTTTTGCATTTCTGAATTTCAAAGACATTTTCTGAAAAATATAAATATTGAATGAGTTTTTATTGGCTTTAATCAAAATTTGAAAATGCCAACAAATCATGAGGAGCCATTCATTTTTCCCACGCCATGTCACCATGTAAATGGTAGTTCCATAATGATAAGTTCTAGAGTGTAATAAAAAAATTCTGAAAGGAGTCCATCTTTTACCTACTTCCCTAAGAGAGGCTTTTTCTTACGAACCCTAGATGTTCATCTTTTTACCTAATGACAAAAAGTATCATTCTGTCCTAAAAAGTTAATAATTTTAAAGGCCTGAAGTGTATTAAAGAGAGTCACAATAATTTTTCAAGGTTCGTTAAAAAATGTTAGGCCATATTCTGAAAATCACTTTAGGTAAGATGTGTTAAGAGTTTCACAGGTTGGGACCAGCAGATGGCGTAATGGTTACATCACTGGACTCCTACATAGTCGACCCTGGTTCCTGTCCTGGTCCTGGTGGCTTAAAACTCACACTGGGCACATGTGCATGTGTGTCCAAAACCCCAAGAGGAAAATGGAGGAGAAGAGATTGTGGTATGGCTGATTCCCCTGGCGGGGGGTGGTGGTGGTGGTGATTTCTTACTTTCTGTCTGTCTCTCTGGTGAGTGCATGCACCCTATAGCAAATATCTCTCTTAAAAAAAAAAAAAAGAGTTTCACAGGTAAGTTCCTTATATGACATACAAAAACACTAACACTTTTTTTTTTAATTGAAAAAAAAAAAAATTGCCAACGGTGAATGTACTTTCCAGAGAGAGAAAAAGTGAGAGAGCACCCCGACCCCTCCATGGGTTATGGTCAGGCTGTAGTCTCTTTTCCTCAATTTCCTCCTCCCTTTGGGATTTTGAGCATGTAAGCACATGTACCTGGCATGTTTAACAAGCCACCAGGTCTAAGATTTAAACCACATAGTCAGTCATATGGGATCCAGTGGCCTTAACCACCAAGCCACTGGCTGGCCTCAGATGGTTTCAAAATAATTCAATGAGGAGTTCCAGCAAATAATTGCTAACATGATCGAGTACTGAGTATGTACAGGTAATGCTGTGTTTTACCTAATTAACTCATTTAATATCCACAACAACCCTATGTATTGATGTATTAGTCCTATCATGAGTCATACTTTATTTATGAGGAAAGTAAGATACAAAGAGATATGCTCACGCAAATTTTTCACATCTGCTCAAATTTTTCTTTTCCTTTTTTTTCTTCCGATCTTAGGGTGTGTTTGCTCGCCAGACAGACAGAGAGAGACAGAGAGACAGAAAGTGAGAAATCACCCCCCAGGGGTGATAGCCACACAGCAATCCCTTCTCCTCCATGCTCCTCTTGGGATCTTGGGCATGCACACACATGTGCCCAGCATGAGTTTTAAGCCACCGGATCTGGGATGTGAACCATGGTCGACTACAGGGGAGTCCAGCGACATAGCCATTACGCTAACTGCTGGTCCCACATCTGCTCAAATTTTTTAGAGCTAATAACGTTTAACCCCAAACATGTTTTGGGCCAGCAGATGGCATGGTGGTTAAGGCACTGGATGCCTACATGACTTGACTGTGGTTCGAATCCACGATCTAGTCGCTTGCTTTCTCACTTTCCCTCTCTCTGGTGAGCACATGCGCCCTATAGCAAATGAAAGAAAATAATAATAAATTAAATAAGTAATTCCTCAAAAAAAAAACCCAAACTTATTCAGCACAGGATTCAAACCCAGATGATCTGACCCCAGAACCTATACTCAGAACTATTACCTAATACATAGGGACTTCAAAAAGTCTGTGGAAAAATGGAATTAAAATGAGTTTATTTTGATACAAAAACGTTTTGAAATCCATGGGTAGTTTTTTTATAATATACATTTCCCAGAACATTTTGAATACTTCTCATGTTGTCTTTTACATAATAAGACCACAATTATGGCTGGAATGCTGCCTTTTAAAAGTACATTAATAATTTAGCTCAAATCTACTTACACTAACTAAGCTAACACTATGCTAAAAAGATAGAAGTTAAAACTGTTGTAGAACATACAGTTTTTTAGTTCTTTAGATTCTAAAATTAAGTTTATACTATCTCTCAAAAGTATTGAATTACTTTGAGTTCATTGTTAACAAGCTGAGGGAAATTTTTTTAAAAATGATTGGCAGCATTTTTGCAAAGAATTTTCTAACAGAATATTAAAGTAATTTTAATTCAATCTGGGAGGAAGATAATGATCATGGTTATTAAATAGACCATTGTTCTCATTCTATTCTTAATAATGAGACCAAGAAAAATACCTTTTTTACTCTCATAGTTTTAATCTTTGAAACTCCAGTGAAGTAAATCATGCAAATTCTCCAGAGGTTAAAGTGCCTGCTAGAATATAGCATTATGATTAAGTATTCATTGAATATGATGCTATTCTAGAAACTACAATTACAAAACTAAAAAGCCCCAACATGATAGATAGAAAAAGAAATTTCAACAAATGCCTTTTGCTATCTCCAAAGCAGATGTTTAAAGCCTAATGAGTCATTCGGTATGTGACCACAAACACCAAGTACAGATTCCTGTATTAAAAAGTGAGCATGGTATGGAGTAGATAGTTTGGGCACAAGGTCTAATTTACTTAAAATTATTTACATAATTGAGGTCAAAATGCATTTTCAGATTTAATTTTCTTTAAAATTTGTAAGTAGACCAGCCTTCTCACTTTTTTTTTTTTTTTTTTTTTTTTTTAGAAAAAATTTTTTTCATTTTTTTTTTTTTTTTTTAGAGAAAGATTTTTGCTATACAGTGCATGTGCTCACCAGAGAGACAGAAAAAGACAGAGAGCCAGAAAGTGAGAAATCACCCCTGGGAGGATGGCCCTTCTCCTCCATTGTCCTCACAGGATTTGGGGCACACACGCACATGTACCTGGCATGAGTTTTAAGCAGCCAGGTCTGGGACACGAACCACGGTCAACTATGTAGGAGTCCAGCAATGTAACCATTATGCTATCTGCTGGTCCCTTTTCACTCTTTTTTAAAAAACGTTTCTTTCCTTCCATGAGTAAGAGAGAGAGTCAGACAGACAGACAGAGATAGGCACCCCAAATAGTCTTCACGCTGCGATCCACCCTGGCTTCAGCCAGTCCTGGATCGTGGGCATGTGTGTGCCTGGTGCGTTCAGTGAGGTTTCTGGATGCAATCGGGATCTTCTTGTGGGAGTCAGCTGCAGAGTGTGGTGCCTCAGCTGTGCTGCTGCCTAGCCGCTGGGCGCCTCCCTCTCAGATTTTCCACCTCCCTCTCCCTCCTGAATTCCGTGCCCCAACCATTCTAATTGTTCAGGTAGTCTCAATTCTCTCTCACGTGTGATCTTCCAAATGTCCTTTCTATTCTCATGTTTCCTAACCTCTTTTGCATCATTGCTCCCCCATAAGAAGCCTTTTTAGACACTTTTTCTTAATCGTCTCTCCTTCCCTCAACTAAATATTAAGGAAGAAGATTTTGCCAGATAGAATTGAGCTTTGGGTGCTCACAAACATTCTAACAGCTAAGACTTACTTCACTTGCCAAACTCCCATTTCCTGCCCTTTGGGTGTGATAATACCCCTGTTGAAATAGTGTTTTATATTCAGTCCAATCCCTGGTTCACCACCCTGTCCCTGCACATGGCTGACTCCTATGTGATCTGCCACATAGAGTACTCAAGTTAGACTTCATTTCCTCAGAGAGCCTTGCGTCATTCCCCAAGTCTAGGTTGGGTGTTCCTTGTGTATGCTCCTATTAAATGCAGTCTTTTACAACATTTATTACATAATGTTCTAATTTTCTGTTTATTTGTATCTTTTCTTAAACTGTGCTATTGTTTAAGGCGTCCCCCACAGTTATGTGTTGGGAGCTTACTGCCCACAGTGCAGTGGTGTTGAGCAGTAGGGCATTTAAGAGGTGATGAGGCCATGAGGGCTCGGCTTCATAAAGGCACTAATGTCATTGTGAAAGACGGCGTTTGTTTTCAAAGTGAGTCCACCCCCTCTTGCATTCTCTTGCTTTTAAGCCCTCTGCCATGGAGTGATGTCGCAAGAAGCCCCTCACTAGACTGGACCCCTTGATTTTGGACTTTTCAGCCTCTAGAAATATAAGAAAGAAATCTATTCTTGTCTCAGGTATTCTGTGATGGTGGCACAAAATGGACTAAGATGGATTGTAAGAACAGCTGTTCACTAATGTGTGTGTGTGTGTGTGTGTGTGTGTGTCTCTATTCTCCTCTTAGGATTTTGGGCATGCATACACACACACACACCACACCTGGTGTGATTTTAAGCCAGGAGGTCCGGGACTCGAACCATGACCAGCTACATGGGAGTCCAGTCATGTAACCATTTTACACCATCTGCTGGTTCCCTGTCCCTGCACATGGCTGACTCCTATGTGATCTGCCACATAGAGTACTCAAGTTAGACTTCATTTCCTCAGAGAGCCTTGCGTCATTCCCCAAGTCTAGGTTGGGTGTTCCTTGTGTATGCTCCTATTAAATGCAGTCTTTTACAACATTTATTACATAATGTTCTAATTTTCTGTTTATTTGTATCTTTTCTTAAACTGTGCTATTGTTTAAGGCGTCCCCCACAGTTATGTGTTGGGAGCTTACTGCCCACAGTGCAGTGGTGTTGAGCAGTAGGGCATTTAAGAGGTGATGAGGCCATGAGGGCTCGGCTTCATAAAGGCACTAATGTCATTGTGAAAGACGGCGTTTGTTTTCAAAGTGAGTCCACCCCCTCTTGCATTCTCTTGCTTTTAAGCCCTCTGCCATGGAGTGATGTCGCAAGAAGCCCCTCACTAGACTGGACCCCTTGATTTTGGACTTTTCAGCCTCTAGAAATATAAGAAAGAAATCTATTCTTGTCTCAGGTATTCTGTGATGGTGGCACAAAATGGACTAAGATGGATTGTAAGAACAGCTGTTCACTAATGTGTGTGTGTGTGTGTGTGTGTGTGTGTGTCTCTATTCTCCTCTTAGGATT